CTCCTCATGTCTCACCTCAATCTCCCTCTGCCACTTTTCATCCATCCCCCCTTGTCCTCTCCCTCCCTGCCCTTGTCCCAAGTCCCTCCCCAGCTTTCCTGGAGCCCCTTCAGGCACTGGAAGCTGCTCTAAGGTCTCCCTGGAGCCTTCTCTTCTCCAGGCTGAACCCCCCTGCCCATACAGGGGATTGGATCTGGATGATCTTGAAGGTCCCTTCCCACCCAAACCATTCCAGGATTCTATTATTTCAACTTCCATTTCAGCAGGCCCTGTCAGGCAGTTTCTGCTCAGCCACTGCTCTGTCTCCTTTTTGTTCCTGAAGTCTCCTGGTGGGAAAATTCCAGTGTGTCAACTGGAGGCACCTCAGCTGACCCTGCCTATGAGGCAGAAGAACATTTACCAGCCAGTGACAACCACAGTCCTGGGCAGGAGCAGAATGTAGTAGGAAATGTGACACCTGGAGTCACCCATACCAAAATGAAAGAGGATTTGAATCCCAGAATCCCAGAGTGGTGGGGTTGGAAGGGACCTCTGGAGATCATCCAGTCCATCCTAGGCAGGATCCCCTAGAGCAGATCCCACAGGAACACATCCAGGTTTGGAATGTCTCCAGGGATGGAGACTCCCCAGCCTCCCTGGGCAGCCTGTCCCAGAGTCAAGAAGTATTTTCTCACACTCAGGTCAAACCTCCTGTGCTCCAGTTTGTGCCCATTGCCCCTTGTTCTGAAGAACCTGGGGAATCAGAGCCCACAGAAACCACCCCAACAAAACAGGTGAATTGCCTTTATTCACTAAATAAAAGCTTAGAAGAGCCAAAATGCACTGGGAGTCAAGTCTCTGCACTTTATCTCTCCACTCTATCAGAGTCTGATAAGGTTCAAAGCCTTGGAGAGAAACCAGAGCAACATCCAGCTACTGTGGGATGGGCATGAAAGAAATGAGAAGAGGGAACCCAGAGCAACTGGGAGTGGGTCAGTCTGGTGCCAGGTGAGGGAACTGGGACAACCCCACTGCTGGGGGGAGCAGAAGAGACTTTCAGGTTCACACGTGATAGAGCAACCAAAACCCAGTTGGGTTCAGTGACTGGCTTGGAAAGCTCCCAGGAATCTCTGGTTTCTGGCAAGCTGGAAATAAACCAAAGCATTCTGATGGGGCTTTAGCCTCTGTGCTCAGACAGAACTAAGTAGCAAGGGAGCCTGAATCTGCTCTTTGCAGAGGGAGGGAGAAGCTTCAAGAAAGCCTGAATCTGCTCTTTGCAGAGGGAGGGAGAAGCTTCAAGGGAACCTGAATCTGCTCTTTGCAGAGGGAGGGAGAAGCTTCAATGGAGCCTGAATCTGCTCTTTGCAGAGGGAGGGAGAAGTTTCAAGGGAGCCTGAATCTGCTCTTTGCAGAGGGAGTTTTCACAGTTTTTCACAGCCCAAGGAGGCTCCATTTCTGCTCAAAGCTGATGCCAACTTGTGGACTATTTATTCTGATGGAAATTGTCTTTTCCAACCCTGGTGCTGACAGACTCAGTATTCCCAGAAGGAAGGGCTGGAATCACACTCAGGCTGAGCCACGGAGGCTGAGAAGCCCAGAAAAACACAACCCCCCAGGGCAGCTGAGGAATGGGAGAAGCTGGAGTCCAGCAAAACTGGGTAAGTCATTCCCAGTCACCAGGAATATCCCTATGAAGATCAGCCTGGAAGTAGCTACTAGCCACGTGGCCAGGGCTGCCAGAAACCAGGAATTGGCCACTAGTGACAAAGGAGCTGCCAGATCTTGAGGAGGTGATGAGCAACACATCACTTTGCTGGAGTGTTCCCTTGCTTCCTGCTCAGCTCAAGGTCATCTTTGGACTGGCTGTTCATAACTGGGTTTGCTGGGATCAGGTTCCTTTTCTACAGAGTAGCTCAAGTTGGGGATTTGTGACTGTTGATAACACACCAGTGTTTCAGTTCTTGGTAAAGAGGGTTTAGCCAGAATCAAGGATGGATCCCTGTGTATGTGGAAACCAGCCAGGAGCTCTGCTTGGGTCTTCACTGCCCTGGAACCTCTGAAACACTCTGTCCAGTTCCACTCCTACTCTCTGCACAGGGAAAACTTCTCAAGTGGCATGAACCTGGGACAAGGGCAGGGAGGGAGAGGACAAGGGGGGATGGATGAAAAGTGGCAGAGGGAGATTGAGGGGAGACATGAGGAGGGAATTGTGGAGTGTGAGGGTGGTGAGAGCCTGGCCCAGGTTGCCCAGGGAAGCTGTGGCTGCCCCATCCCTGGCAGTGTTGAAGGGCAGGTTGGATGGGGCTTGGAGCAGCCTGGGCTGGTGGGAGGTGTCCCTGCCCATGCAGGGGTTGGGACTGGATGATCTTTAAGGCCCCTTCCAACCCAAACTACTCTATGATTCTATGATCTAGGTTCCAGCTCATCTTCATCATGTTTCATGGGTCACTTCACCACCTCACAGCCTGTTTCCAGCCAGGGAACAACTTCCCTCCTCAAAGCCCAGCTGCAGGGTGGGAGGCTGCAGGGCAACATCTCCAGCCAGTCCTCCAAGATGAGGAAATGGTGCTCCCAAGAGGCTTGGATGAGACACACCTTCAGAAATATGTATGAGCAAAACTAAGATCATTACATATTTGTACACCTTAGGACAAGGCTGATGAAGGAAACTCTTGGCTCATACTTCAGACACTTTTTTCCACTGTCACCAACACTCCCCTCAACACACATGCAGGGTGGAAAATCTGTCCAACATCTAAACCAACATTGCATCCCCTCTCTGGGCTTGTTCTTATGTTGTTCTGCTTTTGGTCCAGCCCTTCCTCCAGTGAGAGAAGCTTTTATTCAGCTTATATCTGGAGGCCTCTATTTCAAGCAGAGTGCAGATCTTTCAGGAGGGAGAACTCATATGTGACTTAACTTGTTTGGAAATGAAGGAAAAGCTGTAACAGTCTTGGAAATTCTGACATGCAGTCACCACCCACACATGAACACAGATGAACACACAAGAGAAGTCTCTGGGGAGACCTTAGAGCACCTTCCAGGGCCTGAAGGGGCTCCAGGAAAGCTGGGGAGGGACTTGGGACAAGGGCAGGGAGGGAGAGGACAAGGGGGGATGGATGAAAAGTGGCAGAGGGAGATTGAGGTGAGACATGAGGAGGGAATTGTGGAGTGTGAGGGTGGTGAGAGCCTGGCCCAGGTTGCCCAGGGAAGCTGTGGCTGCCCCATCCCTGGCAGTGTTGAAGGGCAGGTTGGATGGGGCTTGGAGCAACCTGGGCTGGTGGGAGGTGTCCCTGCCCATGCAGGGGGTGGGACTGGATGCTCTTTAAGGTCCCTTCCAACTCAAACCATTCCCTGATTCAATGACTCTCTGATTTCCCTACTGAAATGAGGAACAGCCCAATCCCAAGCCCCCCTCATGTTTTCAGAGCAGTCCTTTCTCAACTGAGGAACAGCTGCAGACAAAAACTGCTCAGAAGCAACTTCCCAAACTCTGGTTAAGGGCTGGTTACTAAAGGTGTAAAGAAACTCAACCAAAATTCCTTCCTGTCACCTCCCTAAAGCCAACCAGACCCCAGCTCACACACAGGAGGTTGCAGCAATTTGTAACCACAAGGAACAACCTCATCTCCAAGACACTCTAAACTAAACCAATTTAATGATGCCTCCTGCCTGTCCCTGCTGCAAGAACATCTGTTTCCTATGGAAGTGGGGAGATATCTTAAGATCTAACAGGGTTTGGAAGATTAGAAGGGTAATAGAAGACATTTGCAATTCCTGAGTTTCCTAAAACTTTACATTTTAGCTTCAGGAAGCCTGAAAGGAAGGGGTGGAATTTAATTATGAATGTGTAACACATGCAATAAAATTGGGCTGAATAAAGAGGTGATGGTGGATGAGAAGCTCAACATGAGCCAGCAATGTGTGTTTGCAGCCCAGAAACCAACTGTGTCCTGGGCTGTGTCACCAGCAGAGTGACCAGCAGGGCCAGGGAGGGGGTTCAACCCACTTACTCTGGTCTGGTGAGACCCCACCTGGAGCACTGGGTCCAGTCCTGGAGCCTCCAGCATAAGAAGGACATGGAGCTCCTGGAGAGAGTCCAGAGGAGGCCACAGAGATGATCCAAGGGCTGGAGCAGCTCTGCTCTGGAGACAGGCTGGGAGAGTTGGGGTGTTCAGCCTGGAGAAGAGAAGGCTCCAGGGAGACCTTAGAGCAGCTTCCAGTGCCTGAAGGGGCTCCAGGAAAGCTGGGGAGGGACTTGGGACAAGGGCAGGGAGGGAGAGGACAAGGGGGGATGGATGAAAAGTGGCAGAGGGAGATTGAGGTGAGACATGAGGAGGGAATTGTGGAGTGTGAGGGTGGTGAGAGCCTGGCCCAGGTTGCCCAGGGAATCTGTGGCTGCCCCATCCCTGGCAGTGTTGAAGGGCAGGTTGGATGGGGCTTGGAGCAGCCTGGGCTGGTGGGAGGTGTCCCTGCCCACGCAGGGGGTTGGAACCTGAGGATCTTGAAGGTCCCTTCCAACCCAAACCATTCCATGACTCTATGATACTAAAACCACACAGTCCCTTCTGCTCTTTTTGGACCTGAACCAAAAATGTACCTCCCCTCCCCCTGCATTTCCCCCCGACACACCTTTCCTTCCACTGGAACATAACCCCAAATAAGATGTTGGCCTGACATGAAAGCAAAATGTATAAATATTTTTAAAAAGAGAAGAATTCCTGCCTCTCTAACAGTTTGCTCCAACTAATAGGTTTCAGATGTCTCACATACTTCATTCATTCAGCCCCATTCAGTCTCCTAGGAGCCCCTGCTGTATTTATTAAACACAGCAATTGTGGAATGTTCAGCACTTACAGAATAAAACACACCAGTTATAGGGTTTTTTTCTTCCCCCCCCCCCCCCCCAAAAAAAAAAGCATCATTAGAAAACTTTGTGAGTGACCTAAAACTGTCACCCTGGTTCCAGTCCCACTGCCCACTCCAGCACTCTGCACTGGTCCCAAGTCCTGTGCCACAGCTTAACCCTTTCTGGAATCTCCCAGCCCCCAAGAAGACTTTTTCTTTCTTCCCTTTCCCCTTCCTTTCCCTTCCTCCCTTCCTTCCTTCCGCCCTCTTTCCCGCCCTTTCCCTTTCCCTTTCCCTCCCCTTCCCTTCCCCTGTCCCTTCCCTTCCCTTCCCTCCCCTTCCCTTCCCCTGTCCCTTCCCTTCCCTTCCCTCCCCTTCCCTTCCCCTGTCCCTTCCCTTCCCTTCCCTCCCCTTCCCTTCCCCTGTCCCTTCCCTTCCCTTCCCTCCCCTTCCCTTCCCCTGTCCCTTCCCTTCCCTTCCCTCCCCTTCCCTTCCCCTGTCCCTTCCCTTCCCTTCCCTTCCCCTGTCCCTTCCCTTCCCTTCCCCTGTCCTTTCCCTTCCTCCCTGCCCATGCAGGGGGTTGGGACTGAATGATCTTGAAGGTCCCTTCCCACCCAAACCATCCCAGGACTCTCTGATCCCCTCTGCTGACTCCAGCCCTCGTGGGTCAGGGCAGGATTTTGCCCCCCCGGGGGTAGCAGCAGGATCCAGCAGAGCTGCCACCTCTCCTAGGAATGTCCTTGCAGACCTGTGGGAAGTGTCCCTTTGCTGTCCTCCTTGGTGTGACTGCAGGAGGCTCCTCCATCCCCTCCACCCCCCCTTTCCCAAGCTCTGCTCCCCACATGCTGTGCCAACACTCTGGGCTTTTCATCCCTCCGTAGCAGCAGGAGGAGCTGAGCCCTCCACAAACACCTCATGGCAAGACTGACCTCTCCCCAAAGGTGTTGGGATTCATTTCTCACCCTTTTTTTTGGCTGAACAGCTCCACACCCACATGGGAGGCCCCTAAGTTGATGGGAACTGCACTGGTGTCACTGTTTCCACATTACTGCCCACTTCAAAGCCCCCAGGATGAGTCTTGTCCCAGACACCTTCCCAAGGGAGCTGTTGGGTCAGAGTCAGAATCCTTGATTATTAGTCCCACTGCAGGAGGTTGCAGAGGAAGAGCAGGAGCCTGGGGAGCTATAAAATGTGCTGAGAGTCACTGCAGAGCAGCCTCAATCCTTCATCTCTGCACTGCCTGTGGAAAGAACGTCTGTCCCAGCAACCTACCCGGGCAGGACTGCTCCTTGTCCTGACCACTGCCAGGGGTTTCCTGTCTTTCATGGAACCCCAGACTGGTTTGGGTTGGAAGGGATCTTAGAGATCATTAGATCCAACCCCCTGCATGGGCAGGGACACCTCCCACCAGCCCAGGCTGCTCCAAGCCCCATCCAACCTGCCCTTCAACACTGCCAGGGATGGGGCAGCCACAGCTTCCCTGGGCAACCTGGGCCAGGCTCTCACCACCCTCACACTCCACAATTCCCTCCTCATGTCTCACCTCAATCTCCCTCTGCCACTTTTCATCCATCCCCCCTTGTCCTCTCCCTCCCTGCCCTTGTCCCAAGTCCCTCCCCAGCTTTCCTGGAGCCCCTTCAGGCACTGGAAGCTGCTCTAAGGTCTCCCTGGAGCCTTCTCCTCTCCAGGCTGAACACCCCAACTCTCCCAGCCTGTCTCCAGAGCAGAGCTGCTCCAGCCCTTGGATCATCTTTGTGGCCTCCTCTGGACTCTCTCCAGGAGCTCCATCACCTCCTTATGCTGGAGGCTCCAGAACTGGACCCAGTGCTCCAGGTGGGGTCTCACCAGACCAGAGTAAATGGGTTGAACCCCCTTCCTGGCCCTGCTGCTCACTCTGCTGGTGACACAGCCCAGGACACAGTTGGTTTCTGGGCTCCAGGGTACAGTGCCAGCTCATGTTGAGCTTCTCATCCACCATCACCCCCAAGCTCTTCTCCTCTGAGATGTGTAACTTCACTACAGTGTAACCTGAGGCACCTGGGTGTAACTTCGTGTGAGTGAAGCCAATGTCACCTTATTAATGTTGACATTCAACTTCAGCTCCCCAGGAGGGACACAGTGCCACTCCTGTCTCCAAGAGCCACAGAAACTGAGCCCTGGAAGAATAAACTTGAGCTTCAAGAGGTTAAGAAAGCCACAGAGGGCAGCATCACTCTGAGTGACAAGGATGGAGCCAGGCAGCTTCTGACCTGTTGCATGTGGTGAGGAGGAAGCAACAGGAGCCAGGAAGCCATTCTTGGGGGAGAGACGTGGCCTGGGGACACACCAAGGCAGGATCATGGGGCTGGGAAGCATTTTCCTCTGGAGATGAGGCAGGAGAATGGAGGGTTGGCTCTTGGCAGCTCAGGCCAGAGCAGGGAAGATGCTGCAGAGCAGGGAAGATGCTGCAGAGCAGGGAAGATGTTGCAGAGCAGGGAAGATGTTGCAGAGCAGGGAAGGTGCTGCAGAGCAGGGAAGATGCTGCAGAGCAGGGAAGATGTTACAGAGCAGGGAAGATGCTGCAGAGCAGGGAAGATGTTGCAGAGCAGGGAAGATGTTACAGAGCAGGGAAGGTGCTGCAGAGCAGGGAAGATGTTGCAGAGTAGGGTCCTTTGTTAAAGTCAGCTCTCCAGTGTCTCCTGCCCCACTGAGATAACACCTGTGAGCAGGGAAGGAGGTGACCTGGTTGGTAAGGCCACTGGTTCACAGACAGGTGAGATGCACAGGCAGGACTGGGAGTCATTCCCAACTTCTTGCAGCCTGGTGTTCTCCCTTCCCAGCTGCCCCTCAGCTCTGCCACCAGGACATGGGAGTCCAGCTCCTTCCAACAAAATGGACTGGAAAATAACCAGGCTTTCCAAGTCCAAGGTTCCCACATTCAGCTCACAGAACACAGTCCTCCTGAGACCTTCTGGGGTTCCCACTGAAATCTGGGGGCTTCTCAGCTTCCCAGACATGCAATTTGCAGATAGCTCCAAGGAGCATCACTTGCCACAGAGCACAGAAGAATCTGTCAGAGTCTCCAGAGACTCCAAAAGTTTTAGGAAACCCTGGACTAGCTTAGGGAGCTGAGAATCCAGATCTGGAACAGGAACCCATGGAGCAATCCAGTCTTCCAGCTCCCATTTCACAGTTGCTCCATCTTGAATGGTTTCTCCACGCTCCAGTGTCAGTCATATCTTCTCAAGGCATATCTGCAGATTTTCTGGAGACATGCCCAGTCCAGGAGCTTGAATCATTGCCCCAGTCTGAGCATCTGACCATGTATTGGAAAAACCCCTCAGGAAGATTCCTGCCCATTCCTGAAACTTGCTGCCTCTGGGACAACAATACTCCCCATCCCATGAGGGGTTTCCAGCCTTTTTTGTGAGACTGGTTGAGCATCTGCTGGTGATTAAGGGTTTTGTCTTTTGGAAAGAGCTGGCAGTTCCCCCTAATGATTCCAACTGGGTCAGGTTCTTCAGCACAACTTTATGTGATGACTGTTGGCTGGAAATTAGGCTTTCAAACCCCAGTGGTCACTGGAGAGCAGGATCCACCTCCTCTCTCTCACATTCAGGAAAAAAATTTCCTCCCATAAATAATTGGTCCTGGTCTCACAAGGCTTAAAAATCACAAAATACCAGGTTGGAAGGGACCTGAAGGATCAGCTGGTCCAACCTTCTTGACCTGTGTGTTTCCCTGGCCTCCTGAGGTGAGGTGGAGTTTGCCTGTAGAATTCCTGGTGGGAACAGATCACAGGCAGCAGGACCCAAGTGATCCAAGCCATGGCCACTGCCAGTAGGAAGAGGTGAGGGGCAGGGAATGTCCCAGCTCTATACCTGCCACTGGCTGTCCCTCCAGAACTAGACAAGGGAGTGAAGGGAATTTCCAGGATGCTGGAAGAATTTCAAGGATTGTTTTCTCAGCAAACTTGCCATGTCAAAATTCTCAGCTTGCTTGGAAATGTCCCCTGGGGCCTCAGGTGCAAGGTGAGAGCAGGAAGGCTGCAGCTTTAACCCCATGTGGGCTGAGGCCACCTCACTGCTTTGGCTCAGGGATGGGCTCCAATTCCCACCAGAGCTGGGAACTCCTCCTTACATGAGCAGTCACCACTGAACTGTTCTATCCACCAGCCACAGGGGCCTTGTCAGGCTGGTCCCCTTCTCCTGGGAAAAGCAGCACAGAATCACAGACTAGAAAAGACCTTTCAGATCACCCAGTCCAACCACTAACCCAGCTCTACCAACCCCTAACCCACCTCTACCCAGTCAGTGCTGACCCGTGTCCCTCAGCACCACATCTACAGGGCTTGGAAACCCCTCCAGGGCTGGGGATTCCATCCCTCCCTGGGCACCCTGGGCCAGGGTTTGAGAGCCCTTCCAGGGAAGAAGTTTCTCCTAATATCCAATCTAAACCTCCACTTGGTACAACTTGAGGCCATTTCTTCTTCTTCTGCCAGGCTCTCCCTCTTCATCATGTCACTTCATCTCCACCATCTTATGGGTGTGATGCTGATTATCCTGCTTGATTAAAAAGATTTGACTCCATCTTCCTGTCAGACATGAACCAAGTTCTTCCCAGAAAGGCCATTAACTGATCACAGCCTGGGACTATTCCCTCTGAGAGCTGTGGTAGCCCCAAGGAAGGATATGAGGAGTTCCTTGCATTCTTTCTTCCATCAAAATTGAAGCCAGAGAAGCTGTGGGGCACAACTGGAGGAACAATCCAGCCCAGGTATCTCACATCCACATCCCTGGCAGCTTTCAGACACGTTTTTGGCAGGGCTGTCTCCAGAGAAGATTCCTTTGAAGGCAGGAGAAGTCACACAGACCCCAAGATGAAGCACAACCCCACTTAATGAGATAGTTAAAAGGGGTACAAACACAACTGGAAAATATGCTGAGCTGCAAGGCCAGGATATTCAAATTCCTTCTCCCTAATTACATGTGATTGCTTTTTGGCAAGAGCTCAACCTGCCAGAGCAGTGAGGTTTTACAAACACTCACACAGGCATTAGATCATTGTTTGAATGAGTTATTGGCAGCCTGGATCTGAAGTGAAAACATAGCTTAAAGAAGTCCATATTGAAGAGGGTGAAGCTGCCTGCTTTCATGTCTCCTGATGGTCACTGGACACCCAAGATCCCCTCCAGCTTCATGTCACTTACACCACAACAGCATCCATGGGATGAGTGTCCTGCTTCTGTGATGTCCTGACACAGCCTTGTCACCCGTGCACAAAACAGCTCATGGATGCTGGGCCATGAAGGTGATCCAAG